TAATATTACTATAAGAAAAGTGAGGTTTTGTCACGTTGCTGTTTGACATCCTTGACCCGGCTTTTCCTAATCAGACATTTTCTTGATTTTACTGTGCTCCTTTTCGTGTCAAGTGTGGGCTGAATTTTTTTTACACTATGCATCACTAGTTAGTCAAGATAAGATATGTCATAGCCTGATTCCTCGTAAATTAGGCAAATAAGTTTATGGTTGATCAGGGCAGTTTTGATTTTTCGTTTATTTTATTTTTTTGTGTGAGGTTGATGAATCGGCTGAACTCTGTTTAACGTGCCAGAAAATCAAATGATGTAATAACTGAGGTTCGTAGAAGTGATGTTCAGCATGTGGTGCAAGAAAATTTCAATCTTTGGAGTGTAAAGTGAAATTCAAAAGTTTTCTCATGAGGCCAAAAACAAGGAAATCCCTTTCTGTTTTAGACAGTGATTTTAGAATCCCATCGACAAATTTTGCCATGAATTTAAATACATTTCTGCGTGTGCCTCAAACGAGATTCAAAGCGCAAAAAAACTGACTCTTCTGGACCCGAAGAACTTTTGAAAACAATCTTTTCGGACACGCCTTCGCCGCGTACGTGTTTACATGCTCCCTGATTACATTCATTCATGCCCGGAAGCAGAAACAATGTTTTGTTAGCGTGCATCATTCGGAAAAGCCTACAGTAATAGGAAAAGCTAATACGTAGGTTAATTGAACTCTGAACTTCTCCGATTCGTGATAAGCTTGAAAATTGGAGGCACGAAGCAGGTTCTTGATGAGAAATGAGCAGAACTCACGTCTTCCGTCCCCACGCTGAACGTCCTTGCAGAATGCCCGAACGTACGGCATGCAAACGCTGTACAATTCCGGATCCAAATGAATGTCGGACTGAGCGGCTAAAATGATGTTCTCAAGTTGTCGTTTGCATTCGTTCTCGATGATCATGCCATTCTTCTTCTTGTCCGTCCTGTTCAAGAACGCTTGCTTCAGGCATTCTTCCATCTCGTCGGGCTGCTTGTTCTTGCACTGGCTTCTAATCTGCTTACGGGACAATTTGGGAAAAGAAACGGTTCCGTGAAGAAAACTTGCTAATAAAACTTGGAAACTACGATCGGAAATATGTCAACGTTTACCTATAGAAAAAAAGGCTGCACAATGGAAACATTTCGAATGACATTTTTTCGCATAATATCTACTTTCTACAGCATGAATTTCTGCTGAGAGAAAAGACAAGCAGGTGAAAAATAATACTGCTCGAAAATTTCGCGGTTTTTTAGATATTAGAATACTTTTATGCAGCGCAACGTCATATTAATGCAACGTCATATTAATGAGAAAAAATAGTCATTTTTTTGAATAATGGCTGGTATCTGTCTACTTGGACACCATTTAGACTGCAAGCATGATTTTCCAAGATTGCAGATTTTTTTTTTCATGGATTCATACGAAAATCGGGACAAGGAAAGGTATCCCTGAATGGAAGGGAATAATAATGTGCCGCAAAAATCTTAGATGGAAGAGCGAATGCAACGTTCATGAAATTGATTCGAGTGAAGGACACGACACGAACAATAATATACTAAACGCGCATGTGAATATAAAATAGCTCGTAGTGCGTATATTAAAAAAAAGTTTTAAAATCCCTACGTCCATGTTTCTAGGTAAACCGACTGTAGTTAAATCGAACCCAGGAAGTGGTGTGCGAAAATTGTCCCGTTTTGGCAATCGTACAGCCCTTAGGAAGGTCGCGAAAAGCACTAAAAATCTGCCATCCATGACAATGCTATGATACTGTATTTTATCGAAGCAATGAATTTTTGGACTTCCTAATGTTTCCGAGAGAATATAAATTGATGCAGTAAAATGAGACGCCGACATGCGGACGTTCCGACAT